GAATTGTAGCAAGCTGGGAATGATGATATCTAGAGGACGTTGGCCCTGGTAGTCCCGGTCCAGGACCTTGCGGTTGTCCTCACAGACCTTGTACAACGCATCCATTGCAGCTTCTCTAGCCGACATGGGCACATCCCCGTTGGAATTAGCGACAGTCGTCAACAGCTCATTGACAATCTCAGGCCAGGCCAAAAGGCCTCCGTGAAGCACCATTGCGGTGATAATGTTACCGGCAGCTTTTGAGACATTGTGGTCGGTGTCGCGTAGTGTAACCAGAGCCGCGGATTTGATAAAGGCCAAGCTTTGAGGGGATATCGTGCTGTAAGCAAGAGCAATCTTTGTCTTGACGTTTACGGCGGCGGAAAATCGAACGGTAGGCCATTCATTCTCGTTAATTCCCGCTAGGGGAGCAGCTTGTGGACTGGAAAAGATATAGGTGATGTAATTGACGTAATCAGGAGAAGAGGTCGCTTGTGCAAGCATCTATTAACAAAAAAGTCCAACGTTAGTTTCCATCTTGGGGTAGTATATTGGCGATCGCAGTTGAGAGGAAGCTCAATAGGACCAAAAAAAAAAAAGGGAACACCGGTACCTGTTCTGCTTCTGCTCGGGCTGGAAGGTTAGTCCCATTGAGCGAATCGCGAAGGTAGCGAGCCAACTGCCTCAATGGCTCTTGCTGAGGTTGCCAATTCATCTTGTCTTAGGTGAAGACTCGATGCGACAGAGGTAGGTCAAAAGTGCGAGTAGCACAGGAGCCCCGCCGAAAATGTGGGAACGGGCCCCTTCGTTGCCCCAGATCAAAGAAACAAGACTGAAATCTGCGATCCGCTAAGGCAGATCCAGAAATAAGACGGGAAGTAATTGGCCAAAGAGATTTCGCAATAAGGTCGGAATCAGATCAGTTGTCGGGGACGACCTCAGACTGAGGGGTGTATGTGCTGCGGGCAGAAAAAAGGGATTGCTGAAGACGGTAGGCGGTCAGTCCGTTTAGGTGTAGACTTCAAGTCCAAGAAGGAGATGCGAAGAAAGGATAGTGTGCATTTCACATGATATTTGTGTGCACAATATCAGCCTGGGAATGGGAGTGGACGGTTAGAGTGTTGGATGAAGTTGAGGTTGAAGCTGAAGCTGACACCGCCAAAAATGTGACATGTTGACCAGCAGTACAGGATAGTAATAATTTCAGTGTCTCTCTCTAAGATACTATACTATCATGCTCTTACTCTCGAATCCCCAAGCAAATGGTTCCATGTTGTCTGTTCTATTGATCATATGTTTTCGAGATCGGTGACAGTTACGACACATCTAATACTATCAACATAATGCTAAGGAATATATGCAAAAAGACCTAAAGAAATAGCAATGACCTAAGATCCAATAACCTGGGAGTGAAAGCCATGTAACAGAAGAGGCGGAAGAGAAATCTCGTAACTCATCTCCATATCACAAATGCAATCACGCCCAAACCATCTTTTTAAGGTCATAAACCAGATATTCCAACCACCCAGTCCTCTTTCTCGCATCCGCCAAAGAGATAATATCAGACTGTTCAACCACAGAGACCGCCTCAGCTTTATCACCCTGACCCGCAAACATCGCCCGCTCGATATCCAAACAGACCGAGCGAATACGATCAATCTCGCGAACAGTCCCAGTAGTAGGCCCAAGCCGCGGACTAGCGACCGGATTCGACAGCGGCAAGCCCTTGAAAGCGACGAACCGCGTCGTCGCACGCTTGCTACCCCGCAGCCAGGAAACGAGGTCCCATTCACTGTTGGCGCTGGCGGTAGTCTCCAGCGTGCTGAGATCGACATCGCTCTGCAGGGACCGGGTGTTCACGCGGAGGGTGTTTGTGTCGCCGTCGCGGTAGACTATGACGAGACCGACGTTGGTCGCCTCGTCGGCTTGGCTATCTGTCAATATGGATGTAACGTATGTGCCGTAGTGGATGCGCTCGATGGAGCAGAGGGCGATGCGCTCAAAGGACAACACTTTGTCGGTCTCCCAGTCGAAGCGGCAGCTGTAGACTGCGGCATCGGTTAGGAGAAGGACTGATTCTTCGAATGGTAGGGTGCGAAGGGTGTTGGGTTGGCGGGGTGTCAGCATGGTCCAGCCACCTAGGAATTCTTCGGAGGGACTACTGATAACGATCTTGCAGCTTGTGTCAATGGCGTTCTGGCGGAGCTTTTGGACTGAGATTCCTGGATCGGTGGTCTGGAGCTGGATGGCGAACTCGTCAAAGACTTGGGTTGAGACGTTGCCTAGGAGGTAGTCGATACAAGCTTGAGAGAAGAAGTCGTTTACGATGTTATTGTAGTAGCGGGAGAGTGTCAGTCCCAAGTCGTTGAGGGCACCTCTGTAGTCTCGCTTGCGTGTACGGGTATAATCGCCCTTCAGGGCCGCGGTTGATGAATACTGCTTGGAGATGGCATCTCCGTTGTCGGCCCAGACCGTATTGAACCATTGGGTGGAAGAGTCACCACCAATATCAATGTCAATGCCTTCATTTTCCAGTTGACGCTCGAGGGCCCATTGGCCGAATGCACACTGGGCAACACCAGTGCGGTCTAGACAGTCCATGCAATTGGTTCTGATGATGCCCTTTTGGGTCTGCAGGATATCGTTGTCTGCGATGATGGTATAGCTGAACTCATTCAACGTGTCTTTCAGTCGGTCGACCAGGCGTGATACATTTTCGAACTTCATGCCCCGGCACTCGTTATGGAAGTCAAACCATTCAAGTTTCAATGGCTTACCATCGATCCCACCGGCGGCATTGAAGGCTTCGGTATATCGCTCGTATTGCTCTCCTAGCTTCAGTTCACCGGCTAGCTTGTCAATAAGAGAAACAGCCTGGATATTTCCATATCGTCGACTGAACTCTCGGAAGTGTCTAGTGAAAGCGAGGAGATTCGTTTCCGCAGAGTGATGGAGCACTGGAACTGGCTTCAAGGCATATGGCGACTGAGAGAAATAAAGAGGAACGGAACCCCGGACTTGCAAATATGAGTAGGCAGGGTGAGACGGGGTCCACTCCGGAACCGAGAGAATCTGCTCGGTTTCGACTGTGTTGGCTGTGTTGCCCTCATCATCGACACCGCGGCGCAGGTAACGAAGACCCGGTCGCTTGACAGACCGTCGAGAAACGATAGTCAAAAGATAATCACGTTTGCTAGCACCAGTCTCAACAGCTTCAGCCTCGTGTTTTTCACCGAGAATTCGGCCTTTCGCGAGTTCTGCTGAGTCCTTCGAAGGTTGTTTTTTTTCAGCACCAGCGATTGTGAATTCTCGTTGGCCAACAAAGCCTTGAACCAACGGGAGAACAAATCCATGAGCCCCATGGTCAATGAATTTGGTCATCAAATGTCTATTCCAAAAATACTGCCAACGAGTCAGCACGCCAATCTTCACAAACATACTACGAGTCCTCAGTTCGCACATACCAATGGATCCACAGCTTTATAAAGTGGAAGCTGATCTTTCCGAGCTTCCTGCACATGTAAACAGCGCGTAAGGTCATAATCATAAGCAAAGAAAAAATTATGCGATGCAAACAAAAGTTTCGTATAGCGAAGCAGTTTCGGCAGCAATTCCGAAGCCTGGTCAGATTTAGGCCGATCAGGTTCGCTCTGAGCCCCAGCCTCTTCAGACAGAGATTCATCCACAGCGTCGAGATTCACCTCACTACCATTACCCGAAGGAGGAGGGGTGGAGGCTTCGTCAAAGGGAGACTCCGACGCATCCTGCTCTTGAGTTCCGGGCCTGGGCAATCCCAGGTCTTTGCGCGATAGCCAATCGGCCGCGAATCTGCCAAAGCGGAACTTTTTCGCTATCACGTCTTCTGCGATACTGCCGACGCTGGTGCCGCGGACACGAGATGCATCGCGAGTGGGCGATGCGGGCGCGCTGCCGATCTCTGCTTCCGCATCGGCTCTGTCGGATTCCGTATCGGTCAGGTCCTCTTCATCGGAGGATTCGATGGTGGCTTCCTGTTGCGAGGATTCTTTCCTGGCCTGTGTGATTGCGCGGGAAGCATCGGCTTGCGATGAGATTGGAATGATCGCGACGTTGGTTACGGTGTAGATCGGGCGGCCTCGGATCTGCGCTACTTGCTGGCGCTGTGTGATGGAAACGAGAAATGAACTTGAAGCGACAGATAAGAGACCTGTAGCAGTAGCGCATTGCGGTTAGTTTCTATTTTGGTTTTCACTCAGCTCGTCAACATACCTACGAGACCGTAGGCCTCTAGCTCTAGGGCGTCCTTTCCGTTGAGGGGCTCCGAGCCGGAAGCGGGCAACGCTGTGATTGTGTTTGTCTTATAGTCGATGCGGATGGATGACGCTTCATTGTTACTACCGGTATGCCGCGACCCGCTGGCGTGAGGATGTAGGACCAGGCCGTCGACTGCGGCGACGATGGCCACTTTGCGCAATAAAGTGGGCATCGCGCAAGTTCCCCGCGTTCGAGGGGTATCACTCTGCCCTTCCAAGGTTGACGTCTATAGACCCCTCGCAGAGGTAGCCAAGAACAGGCAATAGTTTAAAGATGTTGGACTTGAAATTGCAAAAGCAAGAATCTCGGATGGGCATGTTCCATAAACAGCTGACCTGTAAATACATCATCGGCCCAGCCCCACCCAGATACGTCGCCAGTCTATTCTGCAGAAATCCAACTTGAACTATATACAAGCCTCTCGGCACGCCAGATCACCGGTAGAAAAAAAAAAAAAAAAAAAGGAAGTAGAAGAAGAAAGACATCAAATCCCAACCATCCAGAGAAACCCAGAGTCATATCCAGTCGTTCATACAGACATGTCCAGTGCCTGAGTTCGCCCGAGTTTCAATGCAACTCGGGCATATTCGGGGAACAGTAAAAATACAAGTGGAGATCAAGCCCGTGGAAGGGAAGCTTGCTAGCAGTCGATTGTGTAAAGACGAAGGAGAATCATTTCAAAGACCTCGATATAAGGCGAGGATTGGAAGACCTTGAGACATCCGCGATCAGAGCTGACTGTTCCGCTTCGTGTGCAGTGCAGTCTGCGTTTCCGTCCGCGGGAAAGTCGGGCCTGGCTCCCCATTACTTTCTGAGGTCAAGTTGTTCATGCCGATCCCGTTCTCCACATCGTATGCGTGTATGAGGCCTTCGCGGTCGCTGGTGCCATTGAAATATGCACTCGAGTCGCTTCGGCGGGACTGCATTGAGCGACGGGTCTGGAAACTCGTCATACCGTCTGTTGGCACTCCGTCCTCGTCAAGTTTTGAATTCACCATGCTGTGTCCATCCGGGTCATGTCGCGAGAGATTCAGGAGGTACACGCCGGTGAAGATGATGAGGAATCCACAGAGTAAAGATATGGTGTTGACGGCGTCGGTGGTGTTGAATCCCTTGAAGAGAATAAATGAGGCACAGAGAGTCGCGGTTGTGAAGGTGACATAGTAAAGTGGGTTCACGCTGTTTGAAGAATCATGTTAACTCACATCTCCATATTCCTTGATGTCTGCACTCACATCGAAGTCGAGAAAGAGTTCAATGCCTTGTTGAAGTAGTTCATCTGCGTCAGAATACAGAATCCGGTCACAATGGCAAAGACGTAGGTGGACGCGTGGACAAATTGGTTGTTGCCGCCAATGGTCAATTTCACTGCAATTCCAAAGGCCTTGACTGACATGACCGAAACCGATCCAACAGTGGAGCAAATCGAGATGTAGACGAGCGGATTCTTCTTGCCATAGACCGGCGCAACCCGGTAGATCATCAGAGTCGAGAAGATCGCAACTGCGACACAGTAGAGAAGGAACCCTGGTCGCAAAGTCAGCGGTAGTTTTCGGGCGACACCGATCAAGTCTTCGTACCTGGCTGGACCGCATATCCAAGAATCTCATCGACGGTCTCCACCTGCTTGTCTGGAGGCGCATGGAGAACGATGACGACCGATCCCAGCAAGCACAGCGCACAGCCTAATTTTCCTAATACACCAAGTATCTCGTTGAGGAAGTACGAACTCAAGACCGCACTGTGTTGTGTCGTGTCAGCTATGAGGCGAATGCACGGTATTGAAGAGACCCCTACCCGATGAGAACACTCAGCGCACCCAAGGGCGTCACCAGGATGGCAGGCGCAAAAGCGTAGGCAGCGAAATTTGCGACTTCGCCAAGAGCGACTATGAACCCGTTAGCATCTGGCGAAATGTCGAATCTGACGATTGGTTTCCGTACGTGTCACTATACCACCCCACCACACAGGACTCTTCAAATATGAGAAACCTTCGCCCTCAAATCCATGTCGTTCGGAGGCGTGCATCAAGCCCTGTATTCAGACGCATTAGCGACTCTGCTCCGACGATGATCGCTTTGGACCGAATCGCCGCGGTGTTTGTCTCGCACACTCGGAATCGAAGCGTCCGTTTCTGGAGGATGGGCACACCAACCTTTTTGGTGATCACAAAACTGGTACCGATGGCCATGGTCGATACAATGGCTAAAATAAGCCCGACATATCTATAATGGCGCAGCGCGCAACCATGTTAGAACTGACAAGCTTGCCGTCGTGGGCCAATTCGGCGGGTGGGAGCGACGCACTTATCTGGAAGCATCTTGAGTGATTCCTATCTTAGGAGCCGGGAGCTCCTACTGTCGAAAGACCTCCAGTGCCGGCAATGCGTCGGGGAATGAGCGAGAGACTCGGGTGAGCGAAGGAAGGGGTCGTGGTAATAGGCTAAAGGCTCGGGACTAGGGGGAGGCAAAGGGAGCGAATAAGGACAAAACAGAAAAACGAGCCAGCCCGAGATTTCTGATGAGTAAGGAGGATGTGAAGAAGGTAGTTAGGTGATGGCCAAGCAAGCCAGAAGCCAGAGATGTGCCTGCGTGCGGTGGGGTTCCGTTTCAAGCCCGATCGGGGGACGCGTAAGAGAACAACAGGGCTAGAGGGCTTGGGGAGGCGTAGGGAGGCTTTCCAAGGTTCAAGTGCCGTGTTGCAGTGCTTTAGGTAATTTTTAATCTTAATTTCCCTTTGCATTCTGGAGTTTTATATAAAATATGCAGAGATCGAGGTAGATTGAAATAGGTGGCCCCAACTCCGTACTATTTAACTATGTTGTACATATGACTCTATTTATCCTCTATTTAGTGCATTACTATCGACACAACACTACCATGTGTCACCTTCTGTCCCCAGGTTCTACCTAGAGGTAAAAGCAGTAGTCCAGTAACTAGTCAACAGCGTATCTTTGTATCTTTGTATTTATTAAATATGGACCCTGAAATGAGGCCAAGACCGGCGTTTCAGCCCGCCGAATGCGGCGTAGGTTTCTATACTTAGCCTGGAATCCCTAGAGAACTCCAGTTTAGACCCATAGCATGACATCGTCTTGCGTGGCTGAATTAATATAGAATTGAATGTAAAAATAAACCATCCGCATGGAGTATTAACATACAATAGCGTACAATCTACATCGTACATATAGACTATAGTTCCATATACCTGCAAAACATACGGAGTACATGTACATCTATTCTACACTATGCCGACCCGCTCTCCCCGGAATGTTTCTCATTTGGGCCCCATAACTAAATAAGCGAAATTAGCTAATTCAAATCTGGGGGTAAGAGATCCGACATTTCGATTCCTCTTAATTTATACTTGAGATTTACAAGTTGAGACGTCTGAGAACTAAAAGATGTGGGTAAAATTCATTGGTAGAATACTACAACCACGTGGACTAGCCCATCGCGCCGATACGCCAGACCCTAAGGAAATGCATCGAAAAGCACGCAGCCCAAACGGGCACCCATGAACACCGAAAACAAAGATTTTGGCCGAAGACCGGCAGTGGTATCTTGAATCGCAATGGGGAAAGAGTCAAAGGACAAAAAAGAAAGAAACGCAGGAATTGATCACGGGCAATTGAATGATGTCTCCAGAGTTGAGAGCACCGGGGTTTGATCCAGATGCGGGATGGAAAAAGAGAAAGCGCATACCCCGAGAAAGTTGAAGGCGTGCGCTGCGCGTACTGGGGAAAGGGGTCGACATACCTGTTTCGGTTAGTAGTGAAACGAGACACTGCGTCCATCGATCGAGGTCGTTGCTGGCAAGTATGGTTAACAGTATGGCGGAGGGTAATGGGTCTCGTGGGACAAGTCATCAAAGGTCAGACTCGCTGGACACCAGACATGACGAATGAGAAAAGATTGGAGAAATTCTCCAGGAGGAAAGAAAAAAATGGGAGCATAGTTTACGAAGAGCGGCGACGTTTGGTGTCAACGGTGCTTTCCACCAAGTCCCAGTCATCTTCATCTTCACGGGGCCGTTTAGAAGACGAGTTCGGGTGGGTTTCGGCGTCTGTCGAGGAAGGATCTGTTCCAACCAACTCTACAGCCTCCGACTCTTCAAAATTGGTGTCATAGTCGCCAAAATGGTTCTCGTCAAACTCGTGATCGACACCCCCATTATCAGCTGCAACAGGGGCATCCAGTTCATCCTCTGGCTCGTCGTAGTCTATGCCCTCAAAGTGATCAAGGGTATCGTTCTCTGTATCTCTCGGGGGAGTCTGCATCAGGTCTACAGCGATTCCAAGTAAATCATCTGCAGGCTCTGGTGTTTTCTCCTTCTTGTCAGAGGTGTCATGCAAGCCGCTGTCAAGGGGCGGTGCCGGCTGGTCATGGGAAAAGTGCTTTGTTTCATCACGCAGGGTAGTTTCCGAGACAACTTCGTCTGTCGGCGGGGCATCTAACTCATCTGTGTCCTCCTCATCAAAGACAGGCGCCTGATCGGCTGGTTCTTGAGCATCATCAGCATTTTCACTGCCAGTGATATCATTTTGGAAAGCCTCTAAATCTTCGACCGGGTCATCCTCATAATATTCGTCGTCCCCCAGATCATCGTTCTCGGCGTTCTCTCCGTAATAGTGACCATTGTCGTTTTCATCTGTAACGGCGTTCGCAGATACTTCCAAAGGGGCATGCTCGGTATGCTCTTGAATCTCGCTTGCGCCAGGCAGTGCAGCTAACGTGGCAGTAGAATCACTCTGCCGGCCCTCGGAATCATAGTTCTCTTCGTTGATATCGCCATCGCCATGATCGTATTCCTGATATTGGTCTGTTTCGAGATGGCGAGACACATCAAAGTGATCTGACTCTGTGTTCTCGGGCTGGGCTGGATGAGATTCAGACTCACGTGCGGCCTCGGCACTCCGCTCCCTGGAGGTAGATCTATCCTCGTCCTGCGCATGCACAATCTCTGATTGAGCACCAGAGACAGCTTCGGGCTGGGCCTGAGGATGTTCGCCATCCAGCGCCTGATCTTCTCCAGGTGCTGGAGCCGTTTGCACTTCCGTAGTTGATAGCTCTTTTTGGGCCTCATTTGTGTAGTAGAGTTCATCTTCATGCTCCTCAGCCCCATGGGTAACAAGATCCCCCTCGGAACCTGGCTCGCCTTCATCATATTCATCCCAAGATTGAAGTTCGGAATGAAGTTCAGAAAGTTTCTTGCCTTCCATTGCAGCGTCATTGAGATCTGCGATCTCGGCCGGGAACGCACGCTTGGTGCTCAGTGTAAGGTAGAGGGCTTCGGGGTCGGTAGTGCCATCGTTACGACAAAGTCTGAGGTACAGATCTAGGATCTGATGCAAGGTTACCTGGGATGTATGGATCGAGTCCTGATAGGATGAGTCAGTACGTTTGCCAGTAGGGGGATAATTAAGAGAGTACTTACCTCTGTTATTTGGATACCGAGAGTGTCAATATCGATGACCAAAACCTCATTGCCTGCCATGGTTTTTTGAAGCACCTGGCGTAGAGCCTTGAAGATTTGACCAACGTTGTCGTAAGCCAAAGCTTCATCTTCAATGAAGAATGTATCCGACAAGTCTCCCTCGAGGGGAGGGAACAGGGCGATCTCGCAATCCTGGTAGAGAATTTTGACGGGATGAAGAGGTTCATCCATGTATGTGACCTGTTGGGGCGAGTGCTCTTCATCTGCAACCTGGTGATTTTCCTCAGACACAGGCTGCGCCTCTGGGTGCGCTGCGTCATCGTGGGAATCTTCGGCGGAATGTTTGATTTGACTGGTCTCCGGGTCTTCGTTGGGAACTTGCGTTACCTCAGCCTCTGTCAAAGGAGACTTTGATGTCTCGTTAGCCTCTTCACCAAGCTCTGCCTTTTCATTATGGCTGCCGGTTTCGGTACTGATGGCATTTCCGGATGGTTCCTCGGTAAGGTCATCAGCAGCCGTGCTCAGGTGGGTCTGGGTGTCTTGGCCTTCAATTTCAGAAACCTGGGCTTTGTCTGAAACTGGGGCAAGTCCCGCAGAGTCGCTTAAGCCTTGAGGTGCTGCTTCGAGAAGTTCCACGGATGTGACTGTGATATCCTCCTTAATGGGGCTGGCAGCATCTTCACTGCTGCCGGCAGGTTCAAGATGAATGATAGGGGTGGCAATATTAACATCTTCCACCTGATCGGCTTCAATCATTTCTTCCTCATATGGCTCTTCCTCAAATTGCACGTCAATATCGTTGTCTTCATCGGCGTAGTTGTCAGCGTCGATCATCGACCCTTCGGAGGGTTCATCGGCCATGTCGGCATCGTAGATCGCGTCATTGTTGAGTTCATTAGGCTGAGAAGTATTTGTAAATTCCTCTGCGCCCATCATATCGCTATCCATGTTCGAGACATGGTCCTCCATGAGGTCGATGTCGATATCGAAATCATCAGCCGGCCCTTGGTAGGGCGAGGCCATCTCCATAGAATCACCCGTAGCGGGGGCTTCCATTGTGGGGTAGGCGATCAAGGGAGCTGTTGTCATAGCAAGTAAACGCGTGAAAATGAGATCTTGGGTCGTATTGGAAACTTCAGCAATGACGTTCCATGAACGCGGTTGAAGTGGGGTTTGAGAGTGAAAGAGAAAAGTTTCCTCGGCGATACGCAGAGTGAAATATTACGAGTAATAGCAAGAGAGATGATGAACTGAGTGTTGGTGGGGATTTCAACGCGCGGGAAAAGATGAAGTGAAGAGAAAGAAAGTATCTGGTCGACGACTAAGCGAAGTGAATGCACGGGCCAACCATCGCCGAAGTGAACAGAGTAGCTCCCTACCGCCGCCAACCAACATCAGGGCCTACGCTTCCAGTCAACCCTACGCTTCTCTATCACTTTCTGTACTCTTTTCTTTGATCACTCTTTTATTGTCATTTGTGTGCCCCCTCTGTGCTGTTTTTCACCATGGTAAGCCCTTGTTTTAATCTAATCCGCGGGGAATTGGACTAATCAACACACAACAGGTTGTTCTCGCAGCGTCGATATGCACCCGTGGAGGTAAAGCGGTTCTCTCGCGCCAGTTCCGAGAGATCTCTCGCTCCCGAATTGAAGCCCTTCTCGCCTCCTTCCCTAAGCTGGCAGACTCCGGAACCCAGCATACCACTGTCGAGCAAGACAACGTGCGCTTCGTGTACCAACCATTGGACGAGTTGTA